GCGAAGTGTGATGTATGTCTCCGAACTAAACCGGCTTCTGGCTTACCGGCAGGTGAATTACATCCACTACCGATCCCTGATATGCCTTGGGAAAGTATTTCCATGGACTTTATTGTGGGACTTCCGAAAACCAAACGCCAGCACGATGCTATTCTGGTGTTTGTGGATCGCCTAACGAAAATGGTACATCTGGCTCCTTGCCGTACTACCGCTACCGCCGAACAATGTGCTGACATGATGTTTCATCACGTCGTGAGACTTCATGGAATGCCACAAAAGATTATCTCTGACCGTGACCCGAGATTTAAGAATCTGTTTCTACCGGCTTTGCTCAATCGAGCTGGTGCGAAACAAAACACGAGTACCGCTTTTCACCCTGAAACCGATGGACAAACCGAACGAATCAACCGAATCCTTGGAGATATGTTACGACAATATGTTTCGACTGACACTGAACAATGGGATCGTTATCTCGATGCCGCTGAATTCGCAATTAACAATCTGCGAAACCGAACCACGGGTCAGTCACCTTTCTTTCTGAATTACGGTTTCCATCCGCGAACGCCTCTACAGTTGGAACTTGCTGATACCGTTCCCGCTGCTAAGGTGTACGTGGATACGTTTCATGAACGACTGAATCTTGCGAAACGATTTTATCAATCTGCGCAAGACCGAGCTGTACAACAGGAGAGTAAGAAACGACGTACCGTAACCCTCCATGTTGGACAACAGGTATTACTGAGTACGAAAAATCTGTCTATACAGAAAGGCACACGAAAACTGATGCCCCGTTGGATTGGACCTTTTCCGATTACAGAAATGATTAATTCCGTTACTTTCCGTTTGAATTTGCCTCCTGAATACCGATTCCACGATGTGTTTCATGTGTCCTTACTCCGACCTTACTGCGCTGACGTCCCTGATGGACCTGTTCAGCCTCCGAAAGCTTTGGAACTTGACCCCGTCACTTCCAAGCCTGTCTGGACGATTGAACGTATTCTGAAGCATGAAACCCGTAAACTGAGAAAACGAACCTTATACCGATTTCTGGTCAAATGGAAAGGACATACTGATGAAAACAATACGTGGCTTGATTCTACCGATATTTCCGATCGAAACTTGATTACCGAGTACTGGAAGGCTCACCCGGAACACAGCGAGGACGCTGGTTCCTGGGGGGAGGAGGCAGCTGTTGTAGCGCGATAGCTACACAGTAATGATGAGCTTATCACGAAATATGCGAATCAATTATGATCATGAAATCTTCTGAAAACTGACCTGGCTGTCAAGAATCGTTTGTAAGAATTCACTGGAACTGAACATCATGAATCTGTACGACAGCCTTACCGAAATCCATAAATCTACTGAAATCGTCTTTGCTCACAGAACGGACGTGGGTTCTTTTAGAATTCATATTCTACTCACGTTCGGAGCGCGGTCTTATACCGTGGTCGGGGCAGTGCCGGCCTGAGACATACTTCACGGGCCAGTAGCACTGCACTACACTACAACAGGGCCTCTACCCCTAGCTCGGACAGGAAGGCAATAGCATCGTCGTGCGAGAATGAATCCATGGTTCCTCAGGCTGGAAATTACTGGCGGCTATGAAGGCCTGCAAGCATGCACCGGACAGACTGTTGGAGACACGGGCGAGGCGAGAAGTAGAGCAACGCTTAAAGAAGTAAGACAGGCAAAAAACGGGTCCCCCAGCCAGCCGGCTGCCAAGGCGACTTGAGTGGCCACTTGGCCTGACGCGAATTATCCGAAAAGGGAAAAAAATGGCGAACGCTGCCACAGAGTGAACCCGTGTGACGGTCTGTCCACAACCTCAAAATGTGAACACGATAGAAAGGGAAAAAGGTGGGAAGGCAAGACACCCCGAGTAAAAAAGGTCGTCAACGAAGCTTACAACTGCACTCGCGGGCGCCAACAACTGCACACACGGGCGCCAACAACTGCGCACACGGGCGCCAACAACTGTGCATGCGGCGCTAAAGACTGCGCACATGGGCGCCAACAACTGCGCACGCGGGCGCCAACAACTGTGCACGCGGGTGCCAACTATCATGCACACGGGCGCCTCAATCGCACGCATGGGTGCCCAATTCGATGCTCGCTGGCAACCTCATCATAACCAAAAAAGAATATTCCTGCGCACGCTGTGCTGACCGGTGATGGTCCTTGAAGAGAAGAAGCGGCACACGGGCCAAGAAAAAAGACAGGCACGTGGGCCCCACTCTACTGCACCAAGGCCTGAAAACCACTACTTGCCGCTGCAGCCTTCCTTGCAGCCATTGCCATTGCGATCGCTGCGATCAAAGCGCTCTGCATCACGACCTCCACCATACTCATGACCTCCACGCTGGCTGCCGCCCCTGTGGCTGCTGCCGCACGATCCGCCACCGCTGCCTCCGCCGCCGGAGCCTCCAGCACCGTGAGAATGGCTGCCGCCATGACTGCCAGGTGTGGAGGCACTCACCGTCCGCAAGGCCCAGTCCTTCTGTTTCCACACGAGGGCCTCCGCTTTTTCACCTTTTGGGATCCGTGTGCCGATAATGTTGTTAAAGCAGTGATCCGCGGCTGTCAGACCTATACAGGGCTCCGAGGCTAGCTGGTGAGTCACCTCCATACCGATCTCGGTGCGAAGCTGGAGCAGGTCGGTCCACTCAGCAGCCCTCTCATAGCAGCCAGCATCGAGGTAGCTGCGAATGAGCTGTAAGCCGAGATGGAAGCCAGTGAAGGCTTGCAGACGGTGACCGATCACGTTTCTTGGCACTTTCTGCTCATTAGCCATGAAGTCCGCGTGAAGCTCATCGGCCTGCTCCAAAGCGGCCCGATCGTCCCGGCGGTGCTTCTCGGAGACCTTTTCTAGGGCATTCATCACTACTGTTTCTAAAACAGCGGCGCCCATCTTGGCAGCACCGGCCGGCGGGGAGGACCCAATGGCGCCCAGCCCACCACCAGCCCCACCTGGAATGGTGGCTACGGTCTCTGTCGATGGCGCATTGTCATTAATAGTTGACATTTGAAGGAAATAAGTCGGAACCGTAAGAACTCGAACAGGTGTAGATCGGAACTTGAAATGGTAAGGCTTCAAATACAGCCTGTCACGCTGACTATTGGACAAGGCTGTATGCTCTTCTGCGTGAAGGCAGAATGACTTCACCAGGAGAGCAGCAAGAACGAAGTCACCACTGCGAACCAGTTGTACGACAGTACCACAGAACCAGCCTTAGAAGCTCCGGTCGCTTCACTTCGTCGCATCTAAGCCAACAATTATATGTCCCTCGCTGGCGCCAGTGTGTGCATGGAAGTACATACAACCCAGGGCATGCTTGCACTGCTGCACATGCTCGTACATATGAAACAGCCTGCAATGCACGAATGCGCTGGGAAATAAAAAGCAAGATACAGCGCTCAGGCTCCAGAAACGGATCCGTTTCATATCAGCACTGCCACTCGGCTCAATAGCTGCATGCTGTAGTTAACTACAGCATGTGGTTATCCTCGTTGTGAGTAGTAGTATCCTGGGTATCACGGGATCAGCATCCACCAATCCTTTCTTTTCTGAAAAAGCCGTGATATAACACCGAGGCATCCGAGTAGCGCCTTCATGTTCGTATAGGCGTCGTCCAACGACCGCTGAATTTCATGCTTGGGTGGTTCAGAGAGACTTGTAATAATCACCCAGCCCCACCGCCATCATGCAGAACTATCGGCATACGCACGCACGCACACATGAAAGCATGGTAGGCATATGCACCGCTTATATGAAACTTGATACACACACACGCGCTCACAGTCTATTCTGAATTTCGAAAGAATGGCAATACATGGACATTGACTAGCATTCATGGACATCGACTCTGCATACATGTGGATACGTACCCCATCCTACTAGTTGAATTACCTGCATAAATATCATTTCCACCTGCATAAATAAGCTGACTAAGTATCGCTTCGCCAACCTTCACCGTGCTCCGCTTAGGCACATCCTGCCTGAAAGCATTTACTTCGTACATTACCGGATTCGGTAAACACCAGCGCATACGCCAGCTGCTGTAACCCTAAAACGCAGAATCAGCCGTTGTGCTGGCTGGAATATTAACGCGTGTGTAAAAATAACCGGCATGCTATAGCAACTGCCGTATAGTACGGCACACACATAGCCTATCTATAGTCTGGTCTGGGTTGACACTACTGTAAATATCGGTCCTGAGTTCGATTCCCGGGGAGCCCCCCGAATTGGTTGGGTCCTGAGTTCGATTCCCGGGGAGCCCCCCGAATTAGTTGGGAACGCGAGATTATGGCTAGCTGCTGAGATGTGGAGTTGAGGTCACAGTTGATGGACCAGATTCGCACGCTGGATTGGTGGCGATTGCCGAACCCTCCGTCTCTTCGGGTGTTCGGGTGAATGGATGAGGAGGGGTCCCTGAAGGCTGGATCCGCCGCCTTGGACTTACAGTTCGTATGGCGAAGTACAGTGTGGTAGTGGTGGATGATGCTATAAGGTGATAAAATCGTAGAACTTACAATGTGATAAAGCGGCCCAGAAGCCTCCCACTCTGTAACATAACAATTACAATTGCATAGCCTAGAAATGCGCCCTAAAGTGCCCAGCCAGCATTTTGAGAAGGCCTTTCCAGCGACCATCTACTACAATTTCAGAAATTGAAGATCAGCCTATCGAGTGTAACCCACTAAAGGGTGGCAAGGATGGAAAGCGGAAGGAGTTAACTTAAACCCTAATTATAAATCAAACCTTCTCGGAGTTCTATCTTCACAGGTTTCAAACCGGACAAGTTGTCTTCCTTGTCATCTGCTTCGGTTATCCCCTTCGTTTACTCGCATCAGTTGACTTCAGCTCCCTTTTGTTTGGGGAAAGCCGAAAGAGCAACCAAAGGAGATGACAAGGAAGACAAACCAGCGGAGATAGAACCCCGAGAAGGATTGACTTAGGGTTTGAGTTAATGCCTTCTCCCCAAAGCCTATAATGTTCCGTGTAGGATGGAAGGCCAAACCACATAAGCGGCGGGTCTAACCCCTTCATACCGGAAAATCTTGAATCCACTACCCAATAATCTTATGCGGACATCAAGCCAGCGGGTAGCGACGCAACGATTGTTTTGACGGCTTTCCCTTGTACACATCAACGAAGTCCGCACCACAAGTTGCACATGCAGCAAACACCGCACACTACATATGAATAAGCGGGCGTACCAGCTTAGGTTACGGTGCTTAGGCTTTCCTGCATGCGCATGCAGTAACACTATCCCCCATGTCCTACCTTCTCTACCTTATTCACGACGCTAAACCTTTACGTATGAACAAACACCAGCCTTCGGTGTCGTTGGAGTACCCACAGTCTTCAAGCATGCATAAGCCGATCCGTCGTTGTTCAGGTACCAGGTGTTAAAGCTCTTGCACCTTGTGTCGGAGTTGCAACGGCTGATGGCATCTGTTAGGCTAAGCTGGACACAGTAAATGTCGTCTCCGAAATGATCCTGGTCCGCTGCCAGTTTGTAACCCGGGACTTGAGCACAGGCTGCAGGTCGCAAGTGTAACCGGGACAAAGCAAGCCGGGATGACGATTGAGTTTGCGAGCGATTGCAATGTGAATTGGACGTTCATCCGTACAGCCGTTCAGGCCCAGCTAATAAACTCACCTAAACTAAATCCAACACAACAAAGTTGACTTTTTCTTTCCGAAATGAACATTTCGCAGCCGTATCTTAATAATCCCTCGTGCAATCCGTGTATTGTAGCGTCACGGTAGCGGAGCTTAATCCTATCTGGCGGTGCGTGTTCCTGTATGTATGTTCTACTCCACGTATCATTTGAAGTTTATTACGATGCATTGGCAGGTGCGACGTCAAGTTGCAGTGTCATCTCCCATTTCGCACTTCAGATAGATAGATAGATAGATAGATAGATAGATAGATAGATAGATAGATAGATAGATAGATAGATAGATAGATAGATAGATAGATAGATAGATAGATAGATAGATAGATAGATAGATAGATAGATAGATAGATAGATAGATAGATAGATAGATAGATAGATAGATAGATAGATAGATAGATAGATAGATAGATAGATAGATAGATAGATAGATAGATAGATAGATAGATAGATAGATAGATAGATAGATAGATCATACATATGGAGCTGCCTATACAGGGTCTATGGGTGTTCAATGGCTTACGATTATTAATCTTGGTGTAGAAACAAATACCATTTGCGTTGGCCAGCGGACTGGCTACACGTTTGGCGCAGCTCCACTGCGTTCCATCCTGGATGGTGTAGGAATTGAATGCTTTGCAATCTGATCTGCTCGAGCAAATGCTGGCTCCCCAATTAGCGGTGGTTATTTGACAGTTGATGTCATCGCCATAGTGGTCAGCACCAGGCGAAAGGGTGTAGCCGGGGATGATGGCGCAATCTGCGTTAAGATTTAGCACGCAGTCAGCACAGGCACTGCAGATGCATGCACCAGCAACAATTAACATCAGCAGCAGCCAGCAGCCGCATGCACATGCACATACAGTATAGACCAAAGCGAACTTGCTGAGGGACAGGAAAGCATGCAAGGGTCCCTATCCATTATACCAGTGCAATATCTGGTAAACAAGCTACAGACCCCTAAAACAAGCTACAGACGTGCTTACTTACTCGTCGTGACCTTGGTGTAAATGCAAACACCCGATGCCGGAGACGTCGGTGCGGAAGCATACTTCAAGCAGCCGGCCAGGTTCCCCGAGCTGGAATCCACGTACGTGTTGAAGGCCTTGCACCTGCTATCGGTGGTGCATCGGCTGGCTGCTGTCTCGGTGGTAATAAGCCCCTCACATGCCAGGTCATCACCCGGATGATCCATATCAATGGCAACAGTGTAGCCCGCGATTGGAGGGCACGCTGCACGTGGGGCGGTATTCATTGCGCACACGGCAGCGGCGGATAACAATTGTACGTGCATTGAGAGGGTCACTGTACTACTTATTAAAATGGCAAGAACAGGATCAGGAGCATGCAGGAGCACTGTCATGGCTGGACCGACTACAGGATTTATCAGAGAAAAACGCCTGGATAATGAAGGTGAGGGCTATTGTTGATCGTCAGAAAAACCATTCCTTAAGGAAGAGTAGTTTTGCAAGCGCATAATTGCAGATTCTAATCCGTGTCGGAATGAGAACTGGTCGCAGGAGCTGTGAGAAGGGGACGGGACTGACAACATTGTCATATAACCATAAAATCACAATCCTACGCGACCTCAAGTAACCAAAATCCCACGGGATATGCCCGGGGGCGCCCGAGGAGGTTCACTCGAGGGGGGGAGGGATGTAAGAAGCTTCTTACATTAAGGGTTCAGCTTCCTTGGCATCACCCTGAGTACTCTTAAGCTTTGCCTTGAGCGGTGATTGGACGGTGGTCGACATTATCCACTTTCTTTCTTAAATTTGATAAAAAAAACAGGATATATATTTTGGGGTATATTTCCCAATATATGAGCCGGCCGCTTTCCATTACATACCTCGGTAATAGCAGATTCCTGCCAATGGTCGTACGGGCCCAGCTATGCGCTTAATACAGCCCCAGGTAGCATTGTTGACTACATATGAGTTGAACGCTTTGCAGTCGCCGTTGGAGGAACAGGCCCCCGCGACACCCTGCTGGCTAATTACGCTGCACCAAATATCATCCCCTACGTGGTCTCTGTCGACCATGAGTGAATAGCCTGAGAACCTGCTGCAGGCTGCAAGGGATGAAGTATGCATATGGGCAAGTGAGATAGAGGCGTACGTATGTATTTACCAACAATGCTATGTATTTAAGCTATAGCTTAACCAGCCATACCCTTTATTACAATGCTTCCGTTTCGTTGCTCATAAGCATAATTATGTGTACATGTACATGTGGGCAATGTGAAACATACACCTACTCGGGGCTGGCATATGAATCAAGCCTTTGCTCGATGGCATCGATGTATGTATGTCGGAATCGCCGGAAAGGCCATTCCTGGTAAGAGCCATGATGAGCCATGGTTACATGATGATGAACCGCGATTACCCTGAAATGTGGGCTTTATTAAGATGGTGTCTGAGGACAGGTTGGATTTACTTCCAACCACGTGCAAGTGGACGGCAACATGGGCCGCAGGCATAGTGATTCCTGCGTGACAAAATACTGATGGCGGCCAATGTGGACTGTATGTTGCAACCCTTTCATCGTTGAATCCCTTAATACGTGCTAGGCTTCATGGTCCCACCCGGAGCAACTTAAACTTTCATTTTTTACTTTGTATGTCGGACCTGAGCATGCATGCACGCAACATCAATAAAATTAAGGAAGCCAGCTAGCTGTCACTAGCCACACCAAACACACCCGCCTGCTGTGCGTGTGTGTGGGTCATGCATGGAAGAAGGAACGAATGAGACCTGAAGTGATCAACGAAATATGCGAGGGCAGAAGGCTTGCAGATGTTGTGGGGTTCAGTGGTATTCCTGTTCATTTCTGCAGGTATGTGAGCTGCACACCTAGGTCTACCACCGCACTAGCTGGATTCCCACACTACCCTGCACACCTTACCTTCCTATACTTACACGAAATGAAAGATCTTTCATTTACTCTAGAGTATCAGCCCTGGATTGATAATGGTCTGCTGGTGGCCAGAAACGAGTGCGGAGCTCGCATGAGCCAACAAGCCAAGCAAGGAAGGCAAACTTACCTATTCGTGTGGGAGGTGGGGGCGGTGGACTCAGCGGTGGCGGGCTGGGGGGTGGCGGGCTGGGGGGTGGAGGGCTAGGGGGTGGAGGGCTGGGGGGTGGAGGGCTAGGGGGTGGAGGGCTGGGGGGTGGCGGTGGCACAGGTGGCTGGGGGGAAGGAGGTGGTCGTGGCACAGGTGGCTGGGGGGAAGGAGGTGGTGGTGGCACAGGTGGCTGGGGGGAAGGAGGTGGTGGTGGCACAGGTGGCTGGGGGGAAGGAGGTGGTGGTGGCACAGGTGGCTGGGGGGAAGGAGGTGGTGGTGGCACAGGTGGCTGGGGGGAAGGAGGTGGTGGTGGCACAGGTGGCTGGGGGGAAGGGGGTGGTGGTGGCACAGGTGGCTGGGGGGAAGGAGGTGGTGGTGGCACAGGTGGCTGGGGGGAAGGAGGTGGTGGTGGCACAGGTGGCTGGGGGGAAGGAGGTGGCGGTGGCACAGGTGGCTGGGGGGAAGGAGGTGGTGGTGGCACAGGTGGCCGGGGGGAAGGAGGTGACGGTGGCCTTGGCAGTGGAGGTCTAGGAGGTCGCGGGCTCGGGGGCCGCGGGGAAAGGGGCGGAGGTGGCTGGGCTTCCAGGTCGCCGAGGGAAGGACACTCAAAAGGCGAGTTCTTAAATCGGCAGAGGTGCACCCTCAAGGTGTCCGTATCGACCCATGATCCCCCATACACGACTAGGTTGTAGACATCCAAGGTCAGCTGGGACATGGGGCTGACGGCGTTGATGAACTGGATTTTGCGGTCGCTGTTTGCATAGAGGTTTGGTAAGCCATTATCCTGCATGCAGCAACAGTAGAAAAAACGCTTAAATAGTTTGCATTGCAGTAGCGAAATATCAGTGCACGTGCCGGTAGCGAAATATCACTTAGATAGTTTGCACTGCAGTAAAAACCCTAAACTGCAGCTGCAGTAGCGAAATATCCATGCCTGCTTTCGACACCCAAAACCAATTACAAATATCGCATCCAACGTTTCGTGATAGGTATTTGGAGGCACCGCTCACCATCGTGGCATTTACTTCATGAATGTTAACCTTGGAAGCGTATGATTGTCCTAGGCCAGCATCGCCTCTCCTTGCTACTCGGACAGCCATGTACAGGTTCAGAGCTGACTTTGAGTCGTTGTACATACTCAGCCAGTCGGGTATGACACGCAGGTAGTTGTTGCTGCCGGTGAGGTAGGTGGCAGGCAGCACAAAGGTTTTCGTAGTGCCTGGCAGCAAGGCACTGCTGTTCAGCTGGTCACCTCCGACCGCGGGAGTGGCCCAGCCCATGCGGGAGATCTCCGCAGCGTTGGGGCAAGCGTTGCCGCGACCCATAGCCGTCGAGTAGTCGCCGTACTCAATACCGTTCTGCCAAGAGTGCCAGAGACCTGTGCACATGTAACGAGCAGCACATAGAGTACTAGCTGGCGCCCTGGTTGAGAACTAGGATAATACAGGTCGGAAGCCGAATCGTAAATAGCTATTAGACTTGTTTACCGAGTATCTCATACGAAGAGAGAGGGACCGTCCCCTTTCTATTATACCAGAGTACGACTTACATATGATTTAAATTTTACAGACCTTCGTGCAGCAGAATTAGGATGCATGTATATCACTTATGGGTTGCCTGCCATATGGCATGCATGCTAAAGATCAAGGTACTACTTAGCGAAGCGTTGCTACCAAGGCCCTACAAGTTTGATTTTAACACCTTCAAATGGCTTGCAAGTAGGTTTTAGAAGAAAACAAGCGTTAACGCCCAAGTTGCTGTAAGTTGCATGTTTGGGCATTACTGTTTGGTCCAGCATCAATCATCGATAGATATCAATACACTCAGGCAGTCACCCATCACACATACCATAGTTGTGTAGGGCCTCCTGCATTATTGTTGCCCATCTGTACACTCCATTGGCTGATGTCTGCAGGAAGGTCTGTCGGCCCGGCAAATATGCCAGCCCTGACCAGGGGCACACTGGTTGAAGCCCCGGTGGCACTATGTAGGTGTAGTGGCTGAAGGATGAGAAGGCTGCAGGGCCGATGAGGGCTTTGGTCGCTCCATCCGCCTTGGTGGACATTGCCCAGTCGGCACAACTAGTCGTGATAGGTGTCGAACACTGGTGCGTCACACGCACAGCCCGGAAGGCAGTTATGTCGAGGTTGAACTTCCCATAGGAGCACTGCGTGTACTTTTCAGCAAGGCCCCCCTTGCCATCCCCATTTGGGCCCAGGTAGAGGGTCCGGATTTCTTCCTCTGTGATGTTAGCAGGGTAGCCGCAAGCCGGGTAGTCGAGAACCATGACCAGGAGGCGCTGGTAGATGGGTTCATCAGCGCTTAGCAGGGCTGCTGGGGCGAGGGTGATGGTGGTCAAGGTAGTCGAATTGTCGGGTGTGCATTCGCCCGTCGCCCCATTAAAAAGACAGTCCTGTACATACGTGCATTCACCGATTCACATATAAGTAAGCATGTGCTCTGGATGCACCCATGTGGGAACTACTCGTTCAGCATGTGGTATGTGATGAGACCGCAGTGCAGCACAGACAGAGCTGGCATGCATGGATTGCATGACCCAACCGTGTGAAGCAAGGGGGGATGAAAAAAGTAATTGAGGCACGTAACAACTTATTGGTATTCTGGAACTGGTGACTGCAAAAATACGGCCTGAAAACTTATTTTTACACGCGAAACGTTTTAATAATCCTTGGCTCCAAATTGTTGAAGGCCAGAGCAAGCGGAGTCAAGGAAGACCTTTGCTGCTGCGTTATTGCTTGCAGCAGCAGCTGCAGCAGCAGCAGGTAGCATGCTGAACTCCTATTACACTCACGAATACCACCACCGCTGCTGTTGCCGATGTTTCATATGCTCGCTGGCGACTTGCCGGCACCTTGCCGACAACTTGCCTCCTTTGAAAGGAGGCCCCTGCTGCTGACCAGTACGTAGATTGGCATGCATACATACAATGCAATGTCATGCAATGCATTGCATGGACCATATGGTCCAGCAATAATCCAAATAACTTGCTCATCACCAGTATTGGTCCTGCTGGAATAATGCTGGTTCGCCTGCTGTTCCTGTATCAGAACGACTCGTTCAGAAGGGTCTTCACATCATACCTGCATCATGAATAGCTATCAGCAGGTCTCTGGCCGACGCCTGTTTGTGTACCCCCACAACGGCTGTAAATTTCCTGCTGTGTACAGCACCTTTGACACTACTGGTTTGGCGCTCGCTGTAGTACCTACTACATTTCGCTCCCCTCATCACACTTCGGCCAGTGGCGATGCACTTCTAAGGGAATCGATGTGCACACGTTACAATACACTCACCAGCTCCACCACAGCACCAGGTGAAACGGGGATACCCCTTGAGTCCCTTCCGGGTGGTATGTAACCGCCACTGAGCGGTATCAGTGCTCCTTCGCTATCACGGATTAGCCACTGCTGAATGTTATCCAAGGTAACATAAAGAAGGTCCCCAACGATCTGCGTTCTGACGACATTCTCTGCGATGAGTCTCCGAGCTCCCACCGCATGCACCACTGCATGCAAGCGCGCACGCGGCACGGCCAATATTGAGATGAACGAAAGCGCAGGGGAAGCATTGATTACTTCAGCATATCCGTGCGCAAGGGCACCGTCATATTGATATGCGCGCGTATGTATTAGGGTCTGTTCCCAGTGCGGATTAAGGGACGGGATTAGCTTTAAATCCGGCGCTGATCCCCGCCATGGAAACTCTGTGGGATTAAGCTGGATCAGCGTAGGAGGGATTAGGAGCTGCGTAAGTCTTAATACATGCACATACAACAGCATGCATGTGCACCACCGGAAAACTCAGGGTTCTTTTAAATAACGCACGTCAAACTACATCAAACTGTTCATTTGCCATGCTGGGCGCTTTCGTTTGCTTCGTCGATCCCTCCAACTCGTCGGCATTTGCGTCGGTAATAGTATTCGCAGCTACAGAAGGAACACCAGGATGCAGGCGCACATGGAAGAAATGACAGTTACAGCTCATTACATACAGCTTTTTGATTTGCGCTCCTGTGCCGAAAAATAGTCAGTTGCTAGCAGGGAGCACGCATGCTGCTGCCCGCAAAGTAGTAAGACCCCGCATCCCGCTGTCAGCTTGCAGGAGTTTCCACCATTATGATAATACAATGCCCCACCCAAAACATTCACTGCAGCAATCCTAGAGCGCGACGAGGATCATGCTCAGCTTCCGTAACACTGCTGCACGCCGTCCTGCCATACTACTTACCTTCCATACTACCAGCGAGTGATAGAATGAGAAGCAGGTTGAGCATCATGCTTCAATAATTAGAGATCGACAAACAAACTTTGTGTAGTTGTTAAAAATAAACTATTGCTTTAGATGCCAGGTCCGGTGGGTTCGCAGCTGCAGGCATACGTGAGATCAGCGTTTGTCCAGCGCATTTCATGTTAGTGCTAAACAGTAGAACTCAGTGCCGGTGTAACCTTAAGTCGTACCGACAACACGCGGGTGCAGGTAGCCTGTTTAGGGTTCCTAGAGGTGGTATGGCGCCTCTCGCGCGGCTCTCCCTTAGTTCGGTTCAAGTTTTCTGCGCCGCTGTGTTGCCTAGCCAGGGGCTGGAAGAGTGCCCCAGTGAGGGAGTGAGGTGTGCGCGGAGGAACAGAAGGACGTGGAGCCGCGCGCCCGTTCCTGCGCTGTGCTTCGGTCCGGTCAGGGCCCCCAGCGCCCGTCCTTTCTCGGGACGAGCCGCCCACAGTTTAACACCCCACCAACAAGTTCGCGTAGCCGTACAGGTTTTGAGCTTTCCGATTTCAAGTTACGACGACCCTATGGATTTTGAGTTCCTGGCATTGAAACGTTTTAAAAGATAGATCAGTGCACGCTCGGTCTTGAATAATGCATCTAAGTAATGGCATTTTTTTTCTGTCCAAAAACTGTTCAGCATGAAACAACACGATACGCGTAATGTCGGCTTGCCCAAAAGCGGAATTGTCTTAGCCTGTAGTGGTTGCTTTGAGGGTGCCGCAGCCTATGTTGTGATGAGATTTTGATAATCTGTATGAGTGCTGTGAGTCGATGGTGCTGAATCGATTGAAAGCTTACAAGAAGCAGAGGTAATGGGTAATTCACTTTATATACAACGTTCATATAATACAACGTTCATTATTACCGTAGTGACAGGAAATGTTCGTGATTTTATTGTTCGAGACACCCTCAAAATTACACCCGAAATTATTGGTGAAACTGTTGAATTCGTGAGAAGCCAACGCAACCGAAGCAACGGTGCCTGCAATATTCGTTAATGGGTCCGACTCAGAACGCCGATTGACGCAAAAGCTGGCCAATGCATGCACGGTTATTTAGGAGCGGCAAAACCAGCTCTATCCGTAGCTGGGGCGCCGCGAGCAAGTGTGAAGAGTCCGCATTGAAGGAGGCTTTGTTGCTTAGGCCGCTTGGCCCTCGGATCCATGTCCGTTCAATTATTATGGATGTATATATGGCCAGAAAAGTGGAACTCGACGAGTAATTACTGTGTTGAAGGCATTATACGATTTGGCTTCGGAGCACACATATATTCGTGACGACCATCGCCTGGAACAGCTTGTAATTTATATGTGACATAATTTCGTGATGCCGTCACGAAATTAAAATCACGAACATTTCCTGTCACTACGGTACTAGTTCTGCTTAGGAATTTCTTCTTTCTACTTGACGCTTCACTTTGCCATTTTTCCGGGTATCACATCCCAGCTGGGATTTGCAGATGTCTGGTCGATTTGACATCTGCAGATGTCTGGTCGATTTGCGTCATGCGAACTTTTGTAACCGCCTTATGTTAAGATATAGGCGAGTGGAACTGTGTAGGTAAAGCCAACCTTAACCGTTACAGGTATCACAGAACAAGCTTTCAGTCAAAACATCATCTCCTTTATACCAAACATTCCATCTTATCTGTCGTACAGCCGTTAGTGTTCTGGCCGGAAGTCAACACTCCCCCTCGGACGGAACACTCGGGCGAATCCAACTCAACGAACACCCAGCCCTTCTCGAAACTGCACGAACTTCCCTTCCGGTAACGGCTTCGTGAGGATATCCGCTACCATGCTGGTAGTGGGACAGTACTCAAACTTCACCTGCCCCATAGATACCCTCTCACGCACAAAATGATGAATCACATCGATGTGCTTCGCACGTTCCGAAACAATCGGATTCTTTATCAAACTTAATGCTCCCTGGTTGTCACCCCAGATACGCATCACATCGATCTCACACCCAAACTCGGGCAGAAGTTTCCTCAGCCAGAGCGCTTCGCGAGTAGCTAGGGACGCCGCCATATACTCGGCCTCCACAGTCGATGCTGCTACAGTCGGTTGCAACCGACTCTTCCAGCTGACGGCTCCACCGCCAAGGATAAAGGCATATCCAGTTGTCGAACGGCGGTTGTCTCGATCCACTGCCCAATCCGCATCGGCATAACCCTCAATTGCCTTGCTGTCCCTGGCAAA